CCTGATGAAGCAGATGAACTCCACATGAAGCAGAAGCCAACGAGACGGAGACCAGTACGGAAGAAGATACGTTCCGTAAAATTAAGAGACTTTGTTGAATTTGAATTTTGTGTTTGTAAATTCTGTACATTCAGTTAAGTTATTGTTAATCGTTTATTGGTTTAATGTAAGTGGCTATTGTTCGGGACGAACAATACTAAGGAAGAGGCAGTGTTACGACAGCGGGGTCACGTGACGCTAGTAACACGTCATATTCTCGAAGGATCGTGAAGTCTCGAGCGTTTACTAGATATGCGGTATTCTTGTGTATATAAGACCGGTAAGAAGTGACGGCAACAATGCAATGTAAGGTAATTGAATTGCAGACTGAGATTGAGACGGACAGTTGGGTCGAGCGCGTGAGTCGTTCATTGTGAATTATAGCGTGATTGTGGAAATTAAGTGTATTGCAAAGTTATATTCAGAAAGAATAAACCAGTTTTATTTAAGAAAGGACTTGTGTCGCTAAAGTTTCATCGGAAAGAAATTATACGGGAAATTAACTAACGACCAGAGATGTAACAGTATTATGCTACAACAAGTGTAGTTACTGTTATATGGCAAGTTTGTAAGCCACAGATCACGATCTGGGTGGTCATTCACTGCATAAAGCAAAGACACTTGTAGCAGATCAGGCGCTTTAGGCAAGCCATTATTTTAAATCCCATTATTATGTTCACACCTCTCGCTCTGTGATGAGTATAATCGGAAAAGTTTCTTTATGAGTTTAATCAAGTTAGGTACCAATACTGAGTGTTCCCCAAGACCGATTTATTAACTTTTAGTAAAGATCAAGCTGAAAATTAACCACCTTCTTAATAATGCTAGAAAACTGGGATTTTAAAAAAACGTTCAAAATTCCAAAAACAAAGTGATATAGGTAGAAGATCTTGACACGTGTAGAGCACGTGGAGCATGGGGTTGCACTCTGACTGCCTTTCTAGTTGTTGTTGTTTCCACTCACAGAGTGATTCAAAAATAAGTTACAGTTCTAATAGGAGTAATTAGTAGGTTGGCAGTCCTGTAACTGATTAACGAATTGCGTAGAAGAAGAATTACGTTTGTCCCTATGTTACGAATAAACTGTATATTCATGTAATCATTTTGAAAATTTTCTAGATAAAAACAAACTTAGGTATCGGTGTTCTATAACTGCAATATTCATAATCTGCGGTCTATAGTTTTAAATTACAAGAAATGTTACAAGAGATGAAAATAATCATATTCAAACTAATACACAAAAATGCATAGATCTGTATAAGATGGAAAGTTTGCCTACATGACAGCAAAATAATTTTTATTTGCTATGAAAGCTTTTCTTTTTCTGTAATAATACTATCATAGGGCATATTTACGGAAATGATATTGTCAATTGACACATCCTTACTTTTTCGATGTGGATCGGATCTATGTAAGCCCTTGTACAATTTTGCTATTAGTTTAATTAATTTTACTACTTTGCATCAATTGTTTTAATGTGAACGTCATTATCAAACAACTTCAGTTTTATTAAGCTGTTTATCATTATGAGTTGTGATAAATGCTAAAAGACGATTTTGTTTAAAGATGGCGCTAGCTACTTTGTCCTAGAATTTGTTGTTTATGTTAAGTTGTCAAGTGTTTAACATTTTACTTCGTGCTACAAATGCACAAAATGCAAAATGTAACAACTGAACGAATTTAAATTAATTTTATGTACACCATACGTATACGTAGCAGGCAATGAAATATGAACTTGCTCAGTAGAGCCAATCATACGGCTACACATAAGAAATTATGTTATCAAATGAAACTGACACTTTAGTTGTTATGGAACCAATGGTGTTTCACAAAATGTTCTATTAAGTGGCTTTTAGGCTAACACTGGAGTAATGTTAGCTGGACATCATTTATTCATACCGAAGTTATAAAGATTTGTCATAAATTATGAGAATTTATTATGATTCAAAGGGAGAAGACTCATACGAGGACCACATAATGGCGATCTAAGTGAAAGAAGACAACTCCTGTCAAATATTACAAAAGATTACAGTGGAACTAATAGAAGTAATCCAAACTACGATCCTTCTCTGCATTCCACTCCTGGTGCATATTCGAGAAAGTTATGTTATTTAAACCTTAAGTATTTAAGACTGGGCATCAGCTCAAGAGAGAAAAAGTCATGCTAAATGCGTAATGTGCTGAAAACGTACCCGGTTTGTACTTGACTAGTACCAGGTGAGAGATGCAAAGATGAAAGGCTATACCACTTATAATAGGACAAATGTAATTAATCTTATGGAGTACCCACCTACTTGCAGTAGCAAAAAGATCAGGTGGAATAGGTCTCACACGTTAAATGATACTACATACTTTTAAAGTGACTGACCAAGTCTCAGTCTGAGGACCTGTATTCAAGGATTCGTTCTTTGAGGAATACTTATGTAAGGTCTGCGAGAATTTGTTTTGTAAAAAACGGCACAGCAATTACTCATCACATATTCCAAAATGATGTTGAAAAGATTCGCTCCTGGTTACAACTACATGACGTGGCTGTTGTGGCTAGATAATTTAGAGGTACGTTGGATCTTCTTAATGAGTTGGATGTGTTAGAAACAATAAATAGTCGTATGAAACAATGGAATCTATTGAGCATGCTATTTAAAACCTGTAGCATTTTTTTTTTTGCAAGGAATTATGTGAGAATTGTCAGCGCTTCTTGCAATTGCTATTTATCTGCTTTTACATAAAATACCGAAGCTGTTTCTGCTATTCACTATGCATGAACGAACTGATAAAACAATCTAACATACAAACAGATTAGGTTTAAATCGAAATGGTTTGATGGAGAAAAAGATTAAAGCATATGGTGTAGTTTTCGACTTTTAACAGTTTTGTGAAGAATGTTTGCAATTACTGACATTGTTTATTCCAGATGAAGTAGGAAGTATCATAGATGGACTATGTGACGTTTGGAGTAAGTAGTGAAAGGGGTGGTCTTACGTCTGTGAAATGACAGGCCCAACATGTTTTAATACAGTGTACTCCTTCTGAATTCCGATTCCACGTCTGATAATGTTCAGGATGTCGCTACAGTCAATGGTGACCTTCCGATGAATTACTCGACAATGACTGAAGGTGGTATGTGAGCCCTTAATGTACACGGCATGTGAGATGTGACATTTTTATTGGTGAGTTACTAACAATATTAAATATGCTTTTCAAAATTTGTATGATAAAGAGAACATATGTGTAAAAAATATATTAGTAACACTTGCAGCTTCAAGTCTAAGAAAACCAATTAAATTAGGAGAATAGTTTCGGTTGTTACTACTTTTGGTGTTGTCGTTAATGATAATGGCAATTGTTACGGTACACTAAGTTCGATCATGGAAATATTTTATGTGAAAATGCTTGATTTGTCTCATTAGCGCAAATATAGAAATAATAATTGTAGACGCATCAACTAAACTACAATTCTAGGGCATAACATGATACAGTTGAAAACTTCGGTGAATAAACTTGAATTAACATGTTTATAAATCTCAGTCTTATTATTTATATTTATAAATTATACTAGAAAACTACATACATACCATTTATCCTTGAGGGCGCTGCAGAATGGAACAAAGGTTACGAGATGCCCACACTAGCCAATTCCAATGTAACCTCCAACAGTGGACACAAGGATAACCATCAACACAGCCAAGCATATGAACATTATAATTTTTTTCTGTTTCGAGGAAAGAAATAACCATCTCAAATAGTAAAACGTTTTTTTAATGACTTCTGTATACAAATGTCTATAAACACAAAATATAAATAGAAAGAAAAACATAATATACTTGTTTTAGAATCATTAAGAAGGCAATCAATTTTAAAGTAGTGATTAATATCTTAATAACTGAGTTATAAAAGGAATTGTCTCATTAGAGTAAATGTATCATGTTATGCCCTACAATCGTAGTTTAGTTGTTGCGTCTACAATTATTATTTGTTTAGGTGTAAACTTTGACGGGCCCCCAGTGGCACAGCGGTATGTCTGCGGACTTACAACGCTAGAATCCGGGTTTCGATACCTATGCTGGGCAAAGCACAGACAGCCCGTTGTGTAGCTTTGTGCTTAATTACAAACAAACAAATAAACTTTGATGAATAAACTTGAATACATATTTGGTGGGGAAGTGAGACGGAGAAAATTACCATAACTTTTCATTAACTTATTAAAGAAAAGCTAATTCTAATAACATTGTTTACTTGTTAACAATGAAGATAATTTATAACACAGAATTGGAATGCTGACCACTTATTGAGAAAGGGGCTTAATTCTTACGTATTATTGTTTCAAAAATCTCATATGACAAAAACATTCAACTGTTATGTGATAAAGATTATCACTGTCTGTAACTATAAAAGGCGACTGTAATGTAATAAAACTAATACAACTTGAAAATCATTTCTGAAATCAAACTGTGTTAAATCAAGTTTCAGTGTATTTCTGAAATATCGTTTAATGGAATACAATAACGCGCAGAGTACTGCGTACTATTTGAATATCATCAACTACTAATTAGACATCTCCCTCTTTCTCTCTCTCTCTTATTAATTTCATGTTTTATATTTCACGTAACATTATTTTGTGAATAAATAAATATTGGATTACTGTGTTAACAAAAGACTTTCAAAACCCCACTCAGTTTATGGTTGTTGAACCATGAACTTTCTGTTTAGAACTGAACTACTAAGCAGCTCACCCTAAAGCCATAGGAGAAAAATCTAGTGAGTTCTAGAAAGTGAGTACATAAATACACCTTTTAGCTAGTTTTCTTTCTTTAGTACATGTTTTATTCTTCGTTTTTGTAAGTTTGTTTGTTTCAACTCGTAAAATCATGTCATACACTGAACGCCCATAACTGTTTCATACTCCGTACATTATTATAAATACCGTTGTTATACTTTATTGTTGACTTTACGTGTATTTATATTAAATAAAGTTACGTCAGGCCCGGCATGGCCAGGTGGTTAGGACACTCGACTCGCAATCTGCGGGTCGCGGGTTCGAATCCCTGTCCCACCAAAAATGTCCACCCTTTCAGCCGTGGGGGCGTTATTATGTGATAGTCAATCTCACTATTCGTTGGTAAAACAGTAACCCTAGAGTTGGCGGTGGGTGGGAAGGACTAGCTGCCTTCCCTCTAGTCTTACACTGCTAAATTAGGGACGGCTAGCGCAGATAGTCCTCGTGTAACTTTGCGCGAAATTTAAAACAAGCAAGCAAGTTACTTCAACGCGAATTTGTTTGTCTGACCGCGTAAAATTTTATCCGCGACATAGTGGATCATAGAATGGTCCCTGGGTTTTTTTTGTTGTTGTTTGTTGTTCTTTTTCAAGTACAAACTCTTAGCTCATAGCTCCATCATCTCTTGACCGATTTGAGATCTATCTAATTACAGCTTTGAACGCAGGAGGTCAAACTCTTTCCATTGGTGTATCTGACCACACCCAAGATCTCATAGATTGATTTATTCTAATCATGCCTAAAGGAATTTCAATTTGAGGGTAGACTGGTAGAGATCCTAATGAGTAATAAAATTGAATCTGGTATACGCGCGCCCCATGCTTGGTATTGCTGGCGCACAAAAATGTAGCTAATAAAAAGGAGAAAAGGTCTCATAGATTAATTTACTCTAATCCTGCCTAAAAGGATCTCAAGTGCCGCGACTATTGAGGATTCCCTCTTGTTTCAAATAGATCAGAATTTATCGAGCTAACATATATCACCTGCATGAAAGCGTAGCTTAAAGGCCGTGCGTGAAAATGATAGAATAAGGGAAAATTCAAGTGAAGAACATGGGCACTATTGCAAATGTTTTGCGGATCGCAGCTAGTAATTTACGATTTGCTTCATTTTAAGCTTTAAAATGCCACATTTTCTGGGAGTTGTACACCTTGTTGCCCATAGAATAACCTTGCACAAGTTCTGCGTGCACTTTAGCCCTCCCTCTCCAAAAAGTAACCTTTGCTTCCTTCGCCTGCATATATGTATATTTTCCATACATGCAGATTTAATGGGGGAAGTAGCGTCATTCATCACAGTTTAATGAAACAAAAATTCACTATAACTAATTATATAGCAATACAATAAATTTATAAATAAAAATGTCAAACTCAAGCATAACTCCGATTAAATACAAAATACAAACTGAAAGGTGAATTAAATAATAAAATACAGACGAGATGTACACAAATAATAAGGTTCATGAGCAAACACCTTGTAGTTCATCATAATAAAATACAGACGAGATGTACACAAACAATAAGGTTCATGAGCAAACACTTTGTAGTTCATCAGCCTTTTTCTTTTCTTTCCAATTCCTTCAGTATTCTTTTGACTTCTCTTATCCCTTTCGACACTTTATATAATATTTTCTATTTATTATATCCCTTCCCAACTAGTCTTCCTTATTCCTTTGCCCCCCTCCAAACTGCCACACCATATCGCATGCTCCATTGTTTCCAACTCTTTCTTACACAGCTTACACTTTATTTCATTTTTTAACCAATATTTGTTACCTTTCATATAATTTCCTTATTTAACTTTTATTATGATTATCGTGTCTACTCGCTTTAGTTTTTGCTCTCCATAAATATTTCGGTAATACCCCCTCTCTCTCCTTATCTTATTGTACAATCTATTATATCTTGTCTCCATTATCCTACCTTACCTCATCCGTCAACCAATATCTTCCATCCTGCTACTCAATATCCCCATCACATATTTCCCACTCATGGTTTGCCACTGCAATTCTTCTTTAGAAAATGCTAATCCTTGAATTATTATATTCACTTCTCTTCACCGCCTTATCTTATATTTTTTGTATATATCTCATTCAACCTGTAACAATATATAATCCATCTCGCTCTTCTGCATTCTTTATATTTGCTTAATTAGTGTAGAAGACGTTAATTGAAATTAATTATTAAAGAATCAGCTAGGAGTGGCATAGTAGTTAGCGTGGCTGGCTGTGGATCCTAGGATCCAAGGTTCGCGTCTCGTTATCGCAAGTACACATTCCAAAATCACGCTCCGCACATTGACATTGTGAATGCGTTATAAGAGTAACGACATAATTCCACTTTTCGATTAGAGTAGCGCAAGAATACCTTAATATTTTGCATAATTTTAATATCTTGTTGGGTATTTAAACTTTGCCAAAACATTTTATGTTGCAGTGACAAACCTTTTAATAAGTGAAATTTGTCATATATTTATTACACACACATGTTCATGACCTTAACCTAGTATGTGGAAGTATGTATGATCACAAATGCTTTACTTATCATTTCACAAGGTCTGTATCTAGCATATACGTAATACGATAATTTTTGTGAACAGCAAAGATGATGAATTGAGTTTTTTTCTAATTGATTGGTTAATAAACATCTGTTTATACTCATTCATTCTGTAATAGAAACATTTGTTCTGCACACTGCTGTCGACACTTTAGGGATAAACTTAAAACATTAGTATTTACTCTAAAAACGTGCATGTGTGTCGCCAGGAATTATTTAGGGGGGGGCTAGTTCTGTTTTATAGTTCATCTTTCTTGGGTACGTGTGTGTGTGTGCGTGTATAAACATATGTATGTATATATACATACACATACACACTTACACTTACTTAAAACTACAGATGTCATGATGAGATCTCGATGATGAACACGTTACATTGAAACAAATATTCATGCAATTTTTAAAAATAAACTAGATACTATCTACTCATTACTTAGTTGCAGCTTATGTGTGTGTCACAATTCTATACGTATACAAATCCATTTTGCTCCTGATGAAGATAAGCCTACCTTTCGAATGCGCTCGAGTTATAGGGTATCTTATTCTTGTCATTATATAAGGTAGATATACCCTCTTTTGATTCCTTAAGTTTAAACAAGCCCTTCATGACAAAGGGAGCTAAAAACTCTATGTATGACGTATTTGGATACGAGAACCATCTTGCAAACTCTATATGGGTGATCGGTGCTGACTGGGTGGGCCCATAGCCCATTCAAGCCCACCCGTGATTACGCCAGTAGTATGAACTGCCTAAGAGTAGGCAGGTGACAACAAACAGCCACAGCCTTCAGAAGCGTACTGTTATCTAAGAGTAAATGAAAATATGACAGAACGTGATTTTACAGTATGGCGTTTGCTGGGTCAGTACGGTGTAAAACGATATGGATACTTGCCTACTCACGATGTACTGAGAAACGGAGCAGCAGACCGTTCAGTACGTTACGTTATGGTTGTATCAAGGATATTAATATCACTGTTAACCTGCACGTAAATGGGGTTCGTTCGCACATCCCTAACCCTGCTGGCGACCGCCATTGAAAGTTAATTAAACTTGACATCATCCGATTATTTTAGCGATATTTTGTGAAACTTATCAGTTGAGTAATGAACACTTTTAGTTTTTCAAACTTTACATGAACCGTATGTACTATTTTACAAACGTTTCAGTGACTGTACAGTTCATCAGCGTTTGAGACACCCATAACAATTCAGCTTGTTCAAACATGTTTCACTCAACACATATAACACACAGAAGCGTGAAAAGCAAGGAAATCAAAATGAGTGTTGATATTACAATAGCGAAGATAAATTTGTGATGAATTTGCTGTTTATCATAAAAACAAAATAAAAGAAACATGCTGTCTAAGATTAATCTATTCA